GGCTTGAAACAGGCACCCCGCTCATGGTACCAACGATTTGCCGGATTCATCTACACACTGGGGTTTCGAGGGTGTAAGTCTGACACCTCTCTCTTTATCTACTCTCATGGGACAGATACAGCCTACCTACTTCTCTATGTTGATGATATTGTCCTCACAGCTTCCTCTGACTCTCTTCTTCGGCGCTTGACTGAGCGCCTTAAGGGGGAATTTGCTATGACTGACATGGGTGACCTTCATTTCTTCTTGGGTATCAATGTTCATCGGACAGCTCATGGTCTCTTTCTACATCAGACACAGTTTACTCACCACATTCTTGAGCGTGCCGGTATGATCACGTGTCGTTCCATCTCCACTCCCGTCGACACGAAGGCTAAATTATCTAGCACATCAGGTTCCTTGGTAGCCGACCCTGCCCTCTATCGCTCCATCGTTGGAGCCCTCCAGTATCTCACATTTACTAGGCCAGACATCTCCTACTCTGTTCAGCAGCTCTGTCTCCACCTTCACGCCCCTCGAGATGTCCACGTCACAGCTATGAAGCGGGTACTACGCTATCTCCGCGGAACCTCCACCTATGGTATGACTCTTTCTCCGTCTAGCACAGATTCTCTTCAGGCCTACTCCGATTCTGATTGGGCAGGGTGCCCCGACACCAGACGATCCACATCAGGCTACTGTGTCTTCCTTGGGGACAACCTCATCTCTTGGTCCTCCAAGCGTCAAGCCACCATTTCCCGGTCCAGTGCTGAAGCTGAATACCGAGCCGTCGCTAATGCCGTTGCCGAGACCAGCTGGATCCGAAATCTCCTATTAGAGGTACAGCAACCCCTACGCCGTGCCACACTCATCTTCTACGATAACGTTAGCACTGTTTATCTCTCCACCAATCCAGGTGGCCCACTTGAGGTAGACATTCACTTGAGGTAGACATTCACTTTGTTCGTGACAAGGTGGCCCTTGGCCAGATTCGAGTCCTTCACGTGCCATCTTCCTCACAGTATGCAGATATATTCACCAAGGGCCTCCCGTCCATATTATTTCAGGATTTCCGGACAAGCCTTGGGATTCGCCCACCATCGACGCCGACGTAGCTGGGAGCATGTTAAATATATTTTATATTTATGTTAATTATATATTCTGTATTTATTGTATAGAGATTGTTTCCTATTGTAGAATCCTACCATGATTAGGATTAGGAATAGTTTGTGTATATAAACACATGTACTCCCACATTATTGTTTAAGGAAATTCATAATTCTTCAGATACTCCTTAGTGAGACACCTAACTCTCTCCAACTCACCCATGCATCCTTCCTCATTTTAGCAAGTGCATCTGCGACTTTGTTTTTCTCTCTAAGA